AGAAATATGCCACCCAGTAGTTGGCATCTGCTCACCCACAGAAAACTATATTTAATCATCTAGAGCTGATGTAGTAGTAGTAATCTTTCGTGGGTAGTCAGCCTCTCCCCTCCCAACATCCCCGTTGCCTTGCCACTATAAGAGGGTTTCATGAGAGCAGTTGCTCTTGTTGCCATGTGGTTTTGTGGCAACGGTGTAGTAATGGTGAGGCCGTGGACCATATTTTTGTTCTTGGGGACCACTGGTTATCCACAGGTTGAGAACCACTGATCTAATGGGTCAATGGCTTAGCATTGAGTCAAGGCATAAGCCAATCCCATCAATTCAATGGGTCTACTGTACCTGGAACCATTCAATCCAAAATTTCCACATTCTTCGTGTACAAAGGAGAAAGAGAAAGCATGTGGACCAGTTACACTTTGAGTTCATTTTATGACATGACAAGCCATGGGTTGTGGTTAAGCATGAGCCCAGCCTGTTCTGCACAACAAACACCACATTGTTTTCAATGGGAATTTCTTACCAGAATACTTAAATATTATAGAATATCTGAGCATTAATAGGTATGAGGCCTACAGCACTTGCTCCCCATATTTAGGCACAGCTGAACTTGAAGAAGCTTTTGGAATCAATCATGCAGCAACCAAACATAATTCTTTCTCAGCATGCAAACCAGATGTTCGCCCTTTCATTTCTAATTCTAGAGTCCATGTTTTGAAAAAGAAATCACAGTTCGGTCAAAGAAAGAAAGAAGCCATAACTGTAAGCCAAATGGCAAAGCAAAGCATGCCTTTTCTCCCAGTGTATCACACCACCTTTTTTTGAGAGGCAGAATAAAGGATAAATAATGGAACCAAAATTATAGCGGTCAAACGCATTTGCTGTATTTTGCAGCCTTAAAACTGGAAGCACAAGACAACCATGCTTGCTCTGATTTTTACTACATTAGCAAGAATGATATTTTGCAACATTAGCTGAGATCAGTCCTGATAAGCTATACACTGACATCATGAGCTTGGTTTATCAAAACATACTAGACAGATTCTTATTCTCTGGGAATTTGGGATTCAGAGCTAGGTAGCTTTAGACACCCCAAAGACCTGTTTCCCATCCTAAGAGATTACTTTGGGTTGTAATATGTCAGAAGGTATAGAAAACATTCTACAAATTAAAAACAGATATGGCAAAACCCCCTAATTCTATATTTGTTTGGGCAGCAATTTCAGGTTTCAGGGTTCAGTGGGTTCATATTGTTTTATCACAAAATTGCATTTTTTTTGGAGACTTCTAGAAGCATTTTTGTTGCTTCTTGTGAATCTTCCAGAGTGTTCAGGGACCATAAATATGGTCTTGGATTCCACATGTGACCCAAAGGCTGCACTTTGCCTCTCATTGCTCAAGATAGAGCACATTTCAGCTGCTGAAATCCTTCTTTGTGATAGCATACCTTTTGGAAAAGGCAGTCCATTCAATCATCCCACTTGTACCACTGTTTCAAAATGTTCTAGTGTCTGTCTCCTCTTCTTCCTTTCCCTGTTTTTCCTTAATTATCTTCGGCTGCTACAAATTGAGTGTGCTGTGCATCTTCACTGACACTTTCCACCACCATATTTGTTGCTGGTCACCACTCAGTGTCTATAATGACATTAGCTAGAGTGACAAGGCAATTGGAGAAGGGAAGAGTAGAAGGAGGGAGCAATTCCAACACTTTGTTGCTCTGGATATCATCATTACATGCATTGAGTGGTGATCAATACTATTTTTTTAGGCCCTGCAAAACGGGTGCTGGGTAAGGCTGGTGGTTCAGCAGTACCAAACTGGTTCTGGTATTGCTCAGCCATGTAGTCACCATTTGGTCTCTGAACCATCTCAATGATTGGTCATGTGGAGTCTGGAGATGCTGATCTGGAGGACCCCACTCCAGATCAGCACCACCGTTTCTGGCCCTGAATTGCACCTAGAGTTCAATGTGAAAAATCATTTGAACTCAACAAAGAAGTGGGGAGGGAATGGAAACCTATCCTCACCAGTAGACACAAGCAAAAGCAAATGGGTGCCATCTCTCCTAGTATGTGTATTCTTTTTCATTAATACACAGTGAAATCTTAAGAATAGGCTTGTGTTGCTTGGCCATATATGTCCCCGTTTGCATCTGCGAAAGGTAGGAGGGTACAGTTGTGTAGCAAAGATCTCCATATGGATAGGTAGACCTTAATTGCGCTACACAACCCTTGTACTGAATGTCAATATAGATCTCCACTTAGACAAACTCCCCTTTTCTTCTCTGCACTGGAAATCACATCTAAATGTCAAGCCACAAATACTAGGGTGGAATTGTTGTGAAAAGGAAAGGAAACTGAAAGTGGCCTGAAATAAAATAAAATTACAAACCCTGCCCCTAAAGCTTCAAGGAGTGTGGCATCTCTGTTTGTGAGAGGGAGCTGGAGAGGCCCACTCCTTTCCAGTGCCTTAATGTATACCAGCATCATAAGAAACAATGAAACTCATCCCAATTATGCCAACGTAAAATAGTTACATTGTTAGATAATAAAGGTTGTGCACCTTATCTGTCTTGAGCCTAAAGGCTTATTGTTTACACTCATTGTTTATAGGGGATGGGAGGATGATGAATTTGACAAACACAACTGGAGAAAAGTAGAACTGGGGGGGAGGGAGACACTATGGAGGTGGAAAAGCAATGCACACACTGTGGAGATGGCAAAACAACACACAATAATGTGTTTGAAGCAAAGTTCACCTGGTTGTTTGCAGAACATTCAGACATGTACACCATTGGCATTTCATGATACACTGCTATTTAGGTTCATCAATAAGAATGATAGCAAGATAGTCATGGTGCTAACTTGGAAAAGTGAGCAGTTTCAGATTCTACATATTTCCTTATTTATTAGGATTCTCGATCTCTCCATTTCCTTTACTACACTGCAGTAAATCGGATTTCTGGTCTATAAAGCCAGATGGTCTATGCAAACAATGCCCTTGTTTGCTGTAGGATTGGCATAGAAAAGAACTGAACTACTTGAGTAAGAAAGGAAACAAGATCCCATGTTAACTGGCTGAAGGTCTCTGTGATCTCCATCAGGTGCCTTTCCAAGCCCTGCTTCTGATATCCTTTTAAACATGATCGAGATTGGATCTGAGGCATTGTCACAGAATCCTTAGAGCAGCAGCTCTCAAACTGTGCTCCGGGGAACCCTTGGGGTTCCATAAGATGTGCCCAAGGGCTTCGCAGGTACCCTATCACCTCTGGGTTTTCTGCTATTATTATTATTATTATTATTATTATTATTATTATTATAGCTGGATGGACATCTGTTGGGGTTTTTTATTGTGTTTTTCCTGCATGGTAGAAGGGGCTTGGACTAGATGGGCCCAGGGGGGTCTTCCACTGAAATGCCTGATAGATATAGATATGATATATTATATATAATATAACATATAAACCTTTATTGAGGCTCCATGCCTGAAAATGTTTGAGAACTCCTGCCTTAAGAGAACACAGTTCTCAAAGTGGTCAGGAGAGCAAGGCTGGAATTTGTGTCTCCACCTAAAACACCAACCCACTGCCACCTAGTGAGTAATTTATATCATTGCATTAACCACATAGGAGTCCGGCATTACGGCAGCAGAAATCACCATTAATTATTTTAACAACCAATATTTAAAACATTTGTGGTTCAATCCTCTGGTTTTTCAGAGGGCATCCATCTCTGAAGATGGAGATAAAATTGAGTCGAATCACCCCTTCCCTCCTAAATGTGTCATTTTTGCTTGTAATCACTACTGTATAATATGGAAGGAAGGAGAGAGTCAGGAGTAGCCCAGTTCATGCATTAGCTATTTGGAATAAGCAAATATATGAGAAGCTAAAGCACACAACTCTAGTGCTCCTCATCACAGCTTCTCAAGAGAAGAGCTTCTGAAAATGCACCTAAATGCACATTTTCCTTCCACTGCATTTCTTCAGTTCACAACAGATAATTCATGAGTAGGGTTGGTTTGCCTAGGCAATTCACTAGAACCCTTTTTTTCCTTTCTCAGACTGCATTGCAACACTGGGTGAAATCTTCTCTTATATTCTTCCATAAAAGTATAAGTAATACAAAAAACATTTCACCCCATTGGGTTAGATCTTGAGAGTTTTTACACATTTTTCATTTTTTTTTTGCATTGCATGATTTTTTTTCTGCAAAAGAAATCATTTTCTCAAAATGGATTTTGCACACACACAAAAACACTGCATAGTATTTTGTGCATGACATTATTTCAGCATAACATAGATTGGAATTTGCCCACAATGTTTTTTTTTTGTCCCCAGAACAATGTGTTTTGCACATACAAAAATCTCCCCCAAAGGCCTAAAATATTAATGATAAAAAGCCCATGGGATTTAAATACTTGATTTCAATTGCATGATTCAATATCTTACCAGGGACAAGAAAATTGGTAAGAATATTTTACACCCCATTGTAATTCACTTCTTCAACAGCTCCGATAACAGATGTTCAAAGGACAAAGTTGAGCCTTGAAGAAGGAAGAACATTGTCACTTATTCCAACCTTATTTTCCTCCATTTTCCTCTAAAGCAGTGGTTCTCAACCTGTGGGTCCCCAGATGTTTTGGCCTTCAACTTCAGAAATCCTAACGGTTGGTAAACTGGTTGGGATTTCTGGGAGTTGTATGCCAAAACACCAGGGAACCCACAGGTTGAGAACCACTGCTCTAAAGTATGGTTCAGCAGTAGTCACTATACACAATTTAGTTTGGTGGGCTACAGCTTGACCTTAAGTATCTGCTGGAAACGAAACCTCCACATTTTGAAACCAAATATCCCATTCCTTTCCCTGAAGTTTTGGATTTAATAAACTACTGTAGTAAAAATTACTGAATAAAATAAAGAGCTAGATAGTGCAAGCAAGAATGACATGCAGTAGAGAGATAGATATAAAAAGATGCACTTGTTACTCAGATGCATGTACCTAAGTTTTCGGGTGACGCTTGATCCAAAGAATGCATCCCTACTAAACATGACATTACTGCAAAGTGAAAAAGATGTCAACATGAATGGTTAATGCTCATTTATGAGAATCTACATGGAATTAATTAAAAGAAATATATGGAAACAAGACAACTGGAGACTCAGTGCTCTCCTAACCTAGTTTTCTCCCCTTTTGAATGAAAAGCTACACTTGCATTGGTATTTGTGGTACACCTTAAACACAAGGTCAGTTCTGTATAGAAAATATTCTTTATAGCTAAAATATACATCATCTAAAACAAATGTGAGCAACTTGTGGATTTCCAGATGTCTCTGGTCTGCAACCCTCAGAATTCCTCATAATTGCCTGTGATGCTGAGAGATGATGGGGATTGCAGTCCAGTAACATGAGAAGGGATCCATACTGATCTACACACACACACACACACACAAATGTCTTATAATGGCATACACTGTTTTGTGTAAATATTGGCTATTTTGACATATGAAATAAACAGCATCTGAATTATCCTACTTTTCTTCCATCCGTTCCAAAGAAACAGTAACAAAAAAAATTCAAAGTACGCATGGGGATTTCTCCTGCATTCCATAAGAGTAAACAGGAGACATGTCTCAAGACACCAGAAAGCTGATGTGTTATTAGATTAAAGCGAAATGCGTTCCTACTTGTGGATACTCTGAGTTCTTCAGAGGGTTATATCTATTTGTGATAATTTAGGTATCCTCCTGAACAAAGACTATAAAGTATGTCCTCCAAATGCCGTGCATTGGCAGGGACAATCCCAATTCATCCTGTCCCATCTGACTTTTCTAGATTCATTAAAAAGGTCCCAGTTCCTTTCTTCTCATCCCACTTTTCTGCTTTGTTCTCATCTTGCTTCAACTGCTGTAAACTAAGGCCTCATCTACACTGCCATTGTAATGCAGATTGAACTAGATTATAAAGTTTGTATAGACTCACATAATGCATATTAAACCACATTAGATTTTATTTTATTTTTCATGTCAAGAGCAACTTGAGAAACCGCAAATCACTTTTTGGTGTGAGATACGTGGCCGTATGCAAGGACGTTGCCCAGGGAATGCCCAGATATTTTGATGTTTTACCATCCTTGTGGGAGGCTTCTCTCATGTCCCAGTATGGAGAGCTGGAGCTGATAGACGAAGCTCAACCCACTCTCCCCAGATTTGAATCACTGGCCTGTCACTCAACAGTCCTGCCGGCAAAAGGGTTTAACCCATTGCACCACCAGGGGCTCCATTAATCTGAATTATATGTTTCTACACTACCATATAATCCAGTTCAAACTGCATTATATGACATTGTAGATTAGACCTAAATTCAAAATGGAAATGCGGGGAGCAGGAGAGTCTTGCTAATGTGTGTGCATATTTACCTTAGTGACCCAACTATAAAACCCATAATTCAGGAAAAGTCAAATGTGGCGCTTTCTTGATTTGATTGTAAAACCACTCCTTAGTATTTTCTGCAAATTAAACTATTGTATTTATATCTCATCATTTCTAGTTTCTGATTGAAAATAGAGACTAGAAATATTTGGCCACTGTGCCTCATCATTGACCTTCCCAGTAGGCTCAAGAAAAGCAAATGATTGCAGGCTCTCTTAACTTATGTTTTTTTTTCTCTCTTTCATTAATAATAACTTTTGCCCTCCTTCTACATTCTTGATGTTGCTTGGCCAGATGTATCCCAGTTGTCCTCTCTGCTATGTAGAAGGGCATAGAAAACATCCACTGCCCAAAATGTGTCATGGTTCTCAGCTAAGAAAAGACAATTTTTCTTGCACCTTGAGACAAGTTTCACTTTTTCCTCTGTATGCCATTGGGGAGAGAATGGAAACAAAAACAGCAAGATCTAAAAGGAATACAAAGAAACACAAAATCCAAACAGAAACACAATGGCAGGGTCAATACTACTCTGAGTCAGACGGTAGTCCTATGTGATTCTGTATCTTAGAGTGGTCACTGCAGGGTGACTGGGAAGTCCCCAAAGCAGCAGCAACCAACATCCTTAACTTAGTGTCATCCCAATGTAATGGACTACAACTCCAGAAATGATAGGAAATGGGTACCAAGTTAGATGAGGCTGGTCCACCCAATTTAGTACAGCATCATTTACACATAGGATATACATCCCTGAAATTTGCATAGATATGCAAAACCATGGATAATAGTAATTCCTATTGAAATTAAAGACTTCCAGCCTAAGAACACCATAGGGCTGTGTTTGAGGACCTAGGAGATGCCCAGAGATGACATAGTTTGTCAGAAATTGATAAATGAAATGGTGGGTCCTGCTCTTGTTGATACAATAGTTGATAGTTGTTGAAGGTTATATGCACCTTCTCTTCACCAAATGGTTTGTGACATGCTGAAGTCCAATCTGGGTGAGGATCAAGCAGCCTTCCAGAAGTTGTTGGACAGAAATCCCCAATAGGCTTCATTGGCATTGCCAAGAGTGAGATACGCAGGGAATCCAAAAAGTGCATGATTTTCACTTCTACTTTACAATAAAGCTATTATTTTAAGAGCAATACTATCTTTTTATGCTATAGGAAAATGGTAAGAGCCTAGAAAGTTATCTGTGTGGACTAGTTCTTCTCCCCAACCTGTGTCCTGAATGAGTGCATGATGGGATATAAAATAAAGAAGTAGACTTAGGCCCCTTCCACACAGATGAATAAAATCCCACATTATCTGCTTTGAACTGGAATATATGGCAGTGTGGACTCAGATAACCCAGTTCAAAGCAGATATTGTGGGATTTTCTGCCTTGATATTCTGAGTTATATAGCTGTGTGAAAGGCTCGTAGAGTTGGCCTCCAAAAGGATCAACTGTGAGATCATCTGAGAACAAAGTCTAAACAAGCTTACACCTCATGATAAATTTCTTTCTGGGTTCCACAACTCCAGACCATTCAGATATTATGTGATAGAACAACCAGTCACAAAAAAAGCCTTCCTTGTTGTAGAAATCTATATCAGACATGAAGTCTCCAGTTGAGCCTTTCTCCCAAAGTGCTAGTTGTCTTATGCATGGAAATTGTAACCCATAACCAGCACCAGAGATCCAAAATGGATCTATCTAGAGCAGGAATGGGCAAACTTTCTAACTTGGGGACCGCATGGTGGGTCGGAGCAGGGTGAGTGGGCTGGGAAGAAGGGAGTTCTACCCAAGACCCCTAACTGCCCTTTCCTCCTCCTCCTCTTCTCTTTCAGAGGCAGAAAGTGAAGGAAAGATGGGAAACGTTTGGATCCCAAAAGGGTTGGGCTTGGTTAGGATGAGATGGGGAATGAGAGAGAAAAAGTGTATGCATTAGACCCCATATTGCCTGCTCCTGATATAGAATCCTAGAATCCTAGAGCTGGAAGAGACTCCCAAGGGCCATCCAGTCCAACCCCCTGCCATGTAAGAAGGCACAACCAAAGCACTCCTCCCAAAGAGGAGATTCCACCACACTCCCAGGCAGCCTATGCCATTCTCCGACAGCTTTTACTCTCAGGAAGTTCTTTATAATATTTTTAGTCGAATCCCTTTCCCTGCCATTTGCAACCATTGCTCCCTTGTGCCCTGGTCTCTAGAGCAGCAAAAAGTCAGTTTTTCCCTTCCCTCCTCCTCAGTGGGACACCCTTTTAAATCTTGAACGATGGTTCTCGTGTTCCTTCTCTACCTTCTCTTCTTCCAGCTAAACATCCCTCAGGAGGAAAGGAGGAAGGAAAAAGAGAAGGAAGAAAGGGTGGAAGGAAGGGAGAGAGGGAGGAGGGAGGGAGGGAGGGAGGGGAGGAAGGAAGGAAGGAAGGAAGGAAGGAAGGAAGGAAGGAAGGAAGGAAGGAAGAAGAGAAGGGGGGAAGGAAGGGAGGGTAAAAGGGAATGGAGGTAGGGAAGGGAGGGAGGAAAGAGGTAAGGAAAGAACGACAAAAGGGTGGAAGGTAGGATGGAAAGAGAAAGAGGGAGGTAAGGAAAGGATGGAAGGAGGAAGGAAAGGGGGAAGGAAGGATAGGATTGTGTGAGAGAAGAGGGCCTGAGAAAAGAGCCCAAGGGATCACGTCCGCCCCCCTGGCCTGGGTTTGCCCATACCAGATCTAGAGCTTTTAGGATGTGAGGGTACGCGAGTATCCAAAATCTCCTCCCAGCTGCTCACTGACCAAGTTGGTAGGGGATTCTGGAAGTTCGAGTCACAGCACTACCTAGCACTCCTTTATTACAGAAAGAAACATTTGTCGAGAACAGATTAGATAAATGAAATTATATTTAATTTATACTAAAGCAAGCTCTTTTTCTATTCAATTTTCTCCCTGTAAAATACTACCACCAATGGCAAATCAATTAAACTTTGTGCAGTGTCATTCATTTTCAATGCTATTAATGCAAGCCTGAGCATGTAGCAAATTAAGTTCACTCTGGCATCAGACATCAAAGGCATTGCTTTATCTTTGATTTAATATCATCATTATGGCACTTTCGACACGAAGTCAAATGCTAATCCCTGATTATCTTATACAAAGACTCCCTTTTCTCTCGCCATTAAATAAGGACAACAAGAACAACATGGCAAATAAAATAAGACAGTAGGGGAGAAAATAATTAGCCCAAATACTAAGCAATGCTAAAAGTCACAGTATGCAGGGTAGATGTTTGCACTTCTCTCTGGACATACAGTGAATGAATGAATGAATGGCATTAAGAAGAGGAGAAGGTGCGTTGCTTACCTGGTACCATCCACCTGCTCTTTCCTTTTGGATAATTGGGAAAAGAAAGCAAAAGGAGGAAGAAAGGGAGGGATTGTTAAATTCAACACAACAAGGCCCAGGGTTAGTGACAAACAAGATCTAGCCTGCTGGGCATGCAATGGCATTTTGGGCATCAAATCTCCTGCTTAAAAATGTGGGATTCTCTACTCTTTCCATGCCAAATAGTTAATTATATACTCTGGAAATTGAACAACAACAACAACCCTGCACTGAAGGCCAGAATTACATATCACAAAATAGCATGAAATTTGTGAGTGAGGCTTTTAATCTTTCTACCTGGGCATCAAAAGTGGAATTTCCTCTTTGAAATAAATTGGTGATCTATCCATTTCAATTGTACAGTGTTCCCTCACTTATCGCTGGTGTTACGTTCCAGGACTACCCGCAAAAAGTGAAAATCTGCAAAGTAGGAAGTGTTTTATTTGTATGTACATGTGTGTATATATGTATGTGTGTATATATATATATATATATATATAGAGAGAGAGAGAGAGAGAGAGAGAGAGCATTCTGAGGGTGAGGCAGAAGGGAGGAGAGATTTAAAGGCACCACACACCTTTTTTTTTGCTAGCTATAAGGAAGGAGCTAGAAGGCTGTGATAAGGCCCGTAGCCAGGATTTTGTTTTGGGGGGAGCTGAGTTTGATTCGGGGGGGGGCTGAGTCTGAGTGAAAGAGGGTCTACCCTAGCAAACCTTTTGTATCGTTACCCCAATACCCCCATGCATATGGATATATTGAGTATGGTGATCAGATCATGATATGAATAAACATAACAGTTTAAATAATGTACCAGTAAGGCCTTCTTGGACCACCATGAGAATTTCGGGGGCTGAACCCTCCCCCCGGCTACATGCCTGACTGTGATTTAGATGCTGCTTTGTATCTCCTCTCTCTCTCTTTTCATTGGCTGCCTCTCTCCCGAGGAGGACGATGAAACCCCCTTCCACATTCTATCATTGCCAGGAGGCAAAAACCCACAAAACAGTGAGTCCGCCAAAAGTGAACCACGAAGTAGTGAGGGAACCCTGTATTTTTCTTTTATTTAATGCTGCTATGATACAGTATTGGAGCCCAAGATGGTGCAGCTGGTTAAACCGCTGAGCTGTTAAACTTGCTGATCAAAAGTTCAGCAGTTTGATTCCGGAAAGCAGGGTGAGCTTTCGATGTTACCCCAGCTTCTGCCAACCTAGCAGTTCGAAAACATGTAAATGTGAGTAGATCAATAGGTACCGCTTTGGTGGTAAGTTAACAGCACTCCATGCTGGCCACATGACCTTGGAGGTGTCTACAGACAATGCTGTCTTTGAAATGGAGATGAGCACCAACCCCCAGAGTCAGACACGAGTGGACCTAATGTCAAGGGAAACCTTTCCCTTTACCTTATGATACAGTATTGACAGAAAGCTATCCTTTAACATATTATTTGTGTATGTGCGTGACATATCTATCTGTCTTAATTGTATTCTGTTATACAATGTTAACAATATACTTCTTTTATTGAATATTATTGTGACCTGTTTCATTATTCAATCAAACACAGATCTTGAACACAAAGCAGGTTCGATCCTGATGAGCACTTGGATCGAATGAGGAAGGATTTGGTACAACAACCTCTGAGTTTTCATTGCTATTTATTTATTTTTATTTGTTGCAATTATATTCCATCTTTTTTTCTCAAGATGAAATTGAAGGCCTGAAAAAATTATATGAAATTTATGGGGTCACCATAAGTCCACAGGTGAGTGGAAAGCACATATGCACATACATCAACATGATATGATGTTGTGAGTATTAGACTGAAAAGCCAGAAAGCAAGTGTTCAAAGCCCTGCTCAGTCATGGAAACCATCTGGGGAAATTCACATTCGCCCAGACTAAGAAGAAGACAATGACAAACCTCTTCAGTGCAGATCTTGCCAAGAAAACCCTAGGTCAGGGTTTCCATAAGTCTGAGACAACTTCAAGACACACAACAACAACTTTTTGTAATGACATGTCAGAAAGTGGTTTGAGTATTGGATTAGGAGCAGGGTTAAAGCTCAAATTCTGCCAGGAAAATGCTATGATAGGGTTCCCATAACTGAAAGGTATATAAAAACAATATTTTAACAGATAGATCAGTAATCAATGTTTAATCTAGCCCACTTATATTTTGCCACATTTATGTGGTGGCTAAGACTATATTTAGTATGTCTTTCTATTTTCTCACAATAATATCCTTATGACCTAGGTTAGGCCAAGGAATAAAGCAAATGAAGACAACTTCCCCTCACAAAACAGTGAGAGTGCTTCAAGCCTTCACCAATATGAGAGATTTCTGTACAGAATAAATCCTGGATGCAAGGATATTTTTCTATTCATGGCTTTCGTCACTGGGGATTCCCAAAATAGAAGTTATTTAATCACTCCTTCAATCCCTCGTGCATAATTCCAACATTACATGATAGCCACCCTCCTGAAGAATACATTTTCAAGCTTTGATGTAGATGAGATGACATAAGTAACATTACAATAGACGGTGTTGTGAATTAATGACCTCTCAAAGGGAGAGAAAGAAACTTGCCTGAAATATGGGAATGATACAACGGATTCATAAAACCTCCATGTGGCCACAAGGTCCAGCCTATTAGGATTCGTAGCATAGTATCTCCAGGCAGCCTGAGGAACAGAAGAAGGGTGACAGCATTAAGCAGAGAGGAGGAACATTTCTAAGGGTGTGAGCATCTAGATCAGTGGTTCTCAACCTGGGGTCCCCAGATGTTTTTGGCCTACAACTCCCAGAAATCCTAACAGCTGGTAAACTGGCTGGGATTTCTGGGAGTTGTAGGCCAAAAACATCTGGGGACCCCAGGTTGAGAACCACTGATCTAGATAAAGATGTATGTCCTGCCCATAAGAAAACTCAATGAATTAATGATTTTTCACATTTTCATCAGAAAGTTAAATAGCAAAGGGATCTTGTAGTACCTTTGAGAGGAACAGTGAGAAAGACACTGGCAGCTCCTCAGTTACCCTCAAAAGTACTACAAGTTTCCTTTTCATAATGATTGAGACTGACATGGCTATGGGACACATGGCTTGGCAATAATACCTGCAAAAAGAATCTAGGAGTCTGAAAATGAGTCAGTGTGATACAGCAGCTAAAAAAGCCAGTGTGATTCTAGACTTCATCAATACGAGTATAATCTCTAGACCGAGGGAAGTAATCGTCCTAATCAGTCTAGATACTATATTCTGTATACGAACCCACACGATCCCTTTGATCATCTGGGGAGGCCCTACTCTCGATCCCACCAGCATTGCAGGTGTGGTGGGTGGGGACGAGAGAGAGGACCTTTTCGGTGGTGGCCCCTCGACTCTGGAACTCACTCCCTAAAGACATCAGACAGGCCCCAACCTTGGCAGTCTTTAGGAGGAGCTTGAAGACATGGTTGTTCCAGTGTGCCTTCCCGGAATAATGATCCCATAGCACTTTGTCCTCCAAAGCACTTTACACTTTTTAGATCTGCTCGTATGTCCTTCCACAAACGCCACTATCACCTTTCTCCATGTCCCAGCATTATTTCCATTTTAACTTTACATTTGGCCTTCCCACTGTTTTTAATTGTGTGTTGTCTTATTGATAATGTTGTATTTTTTATTGTTTATGTTTTATTTTAATTGCTTGTACTGTTGTTGTTTTGCTTGTATTGTTGTATTCGGGCTCGGCCTCATGTAAGCCGCACCGAGTCCCTTGGGGAGATGGTAGCGGGGTACAAATAAAGTGTTGTTGTTGTTATTATTATTATTATTATTATTATTATTATTATTCTAGGCTTGTGCAATTTGGCCAAAAGGTATGCCATTTCAGGGTTCATTTTTGGCTAATCCCTCATTCTGTTTACCGCGAAATTACTCAAATTGGGGGGAGTGTTGCCATTTTCCTTCAGCAAAGATTCAGCCCATTGGCTATAAGGGAAACTTTAAAGGCTCAATCCTCAGCCACTTAAAAACCTATCTGCATGAAACCTATGTCATTTTTAAACCCCATTTACAACTGAAGGCATGCCAAGTTTCAGAACAATTCACCAATCTACTGATTTTTTTAGAATTATTTTAAGATTTAACCGTAACCACAACATTTTTTAAAATAAGACAAACTGTAAGAGAGGATTCTGAGAATTGTAGTCATCGGTTGTGTCCATTGTCAGCCAATCGGAGCATGGACACAAATAGGCCTTTTATTGGCTGAGAAACACACAGAGAAAAAAACTTCAACTCCCATCATGCAAATGCTGCTGGGAAAACAAATTCCCAGCAAGGCCCTCTCTAGAGGAGGTGCCTAGGGAACTTTTCCACTACCAGGAAGGGAGAAAAGATGCTGTAGGATCTTCTCCAGGAGTCCCATGGCATATTCCTGCCTCATGTATAATGTAGACTTAACGGCACCCCCTTCAGTAGCTGATAAATCCAGCTCTCTTGATCTGTTTTGCCCAGTTTTTTGGTTCTCTCCTTCCCATTCTGTTTTCAAGGGACTACACAAAACGGACCCCTGAATATTATAAATCACTTTTGGTCAAACTGATCCGGGCCCAAGCCTACTATATTCACCTAGAATTTTTTCTCAAGTTTTGGGCACCATAACTCAAAAAGAATGTGGAAAAGCTGGAATGTGTCCTGGGGAAGGTCACCAAAAAAGTCTGGAAGCCAAGTCCTTGAAGGAGGAGTTTTCAGATTGTTCCTTGGAAACACACTATATCATAACGTGGCCTCATTCCATGGTAATCAGAGGTGGAAAAATAAAGCCAAGGAGGAATACAGAAGACTTTTATCCCCGTCTCTACAATTTAGCCCCTTAACACCAGCTGACAGCAAAAAAAAAAAAAGGACAATTTCTAATAATTTGCACTTCCAATTCCTGCTTCCCCATGTATCCAAGTTACCATCAGACAGTTTCCAGTCCAGCCCTATTTTTTGCAGATTTTTTTGGCTTGTCTTATTGTATTTTTCATTAAAAGGCCTTGTGGCACAGTGCAGCATTTCATGAAAAGAAACCTTGGAAATGCATGCAGTTCCTCCACTGAGAGATCTAAAAGCGGTGGCTTTCAAAGAGTTGGAAATGGTATACACTTCAAATCCCTTGTGATGAAAAGCAGGTCAGGGAATTCAAACCTGTATGAGTTCTGCCGCTGGCTTTCTTCTTTTCTCAAAGTGCTTCTGGCGATGTTGCTCCTGGACTTTCAGAGCCAATCCTGAACCCAAAATGCCCTGAAAGCAAAAGAGAGCACAAAACTGCCTCAAACATTTCTTCCATTAAAAGACAATAGGAAAAGTGTTTACTCCATGGTTCCCAAATGGTGGGGGATGCAGGAGACAAGCAAAGTGTGGCCTGAGGATCATGTATGGTCCCCAAGATCATCTCTAAGGGTCTAAAACCACCACAGTGGTGGCAAAAAGATATGAATTGATGTTCTTGAAAGCACCAAAGGCCCTTGACTACTACAGTCAAACGGAAGGGTGCGGGTTTGTCACCACAAAGGGCAAGACCAAGGCTAATGGTACAAGAGGGTAGATTTCAATTGAACGTTAGAAGGAGCATCTTGATATTTAGCAATGCAACCAAATACCAAAAGTGGTGCTTGTGTATCCTTTTTCTGAAGGTCTATTATTATTATTATTATTATTATTATTATTATTATTATTATTATTATTTGAAACACAACAAGACTAGTACACAGCAAACAAGATTACTATGCTGGTTGTTGTATTGGATCACATGTCGGACACTTTCCAAGTGTCTAGGACTAAATGTTTTTATGATGTTGTTGGCACTGAATTGTTGCCTTGTGAACCACCTCGAGTTGCCTGCGGGCTGAGAGGAGCGGTATGCAAATGTAGCAAATAAATAAATAAATAGGACTATGTGATGTATCGGTGAATAATGCATGCAGATCCCAGTAGGATGGTGTGATGAATCTAACCTTTTGCCAGGAAGGCCGAAGCCTGAAGTCAGTAGCTGACATGTTGGGAGATAGGCAGGAAAGTTAAGAGGCAAGAGGGAGGAGTCAGCCGACTCCTGATTGGCTAGTGCAGTCAGGGGAGAAGTTAGCTTTTAGAGGGAAAAAGGCTGTGTCTTTTTGACAAGCTGGGGAGAAGAGCTCTAAACATCGAAGAGTGTAGATGGATAGTTAGGAAGAGGGAGCTGTGAAGAATTTAGACAGGGAGAGAAAACTTTTGAAGTGAGCCTTGGGATTAGAGCATAGGGAAGGCCAAGATTCCTGGATCACTGTACATAGGAGAGTCAGTGAAGGGAAGCCTGTTTGCTCTGTGAGGCAGTCAGTGGGCTGTTCTCAGGGACACACTGTGTCAGAGTTAGTGAACAGTGTGAAGCAAGGAACTCACAGGGAACAAAAGTTAAAGTCTTAAGAAAAGACTGCTTGTCTAACCAGCTAAGCCTCAAGTAACCGCATTACGCTTATGTACCACTCTTATTAAGAGTTGATTTGTTCACCAAGTTTAAATAAACCTGTTTCTAATTCATCTTTAAACTGGTGTCTGCCTCGGTCTGTCACAATCATTAGACCTCAGTTAGCCTAAAGAAAACTAATTTCAGTCCAGTCAGCGAAAGAAGCAGTCTTTAAAGAAGAACAAGGGCTTGAACACATTTTACCTATTTCACATTCACACTTACGTTTTCCTCAGACATTAATTGAGGTGGTGGCGGCAAATCTACCAATTACATCAGTAATTAACTTCATTAATATGGTTGGTCACTTGATAATATTACTGAGGTGGGATTAAGAGAGTCTTTCCCCCTCGTCATAGTCATTTTATCGTCGTTAAAATAGTGTCCAGCTGAACGTTAACATCTTAACACTGCTGGCAGAGGTGGATTGTTTTGCCCCCTGTCCAAGTTGTCGTTGATCCTTTTTACAGATGGCCTTTTACAGCTGACTGATGTTAATTTTGTCAGCGCTGATTGTGTTTAAGTGCAGGCCAAGGTCTTTAGGGACTGCACTCAGTGTGCTGATCACCACTGGGACCACCTTGACTGGCTTGTGCCAGAGTCTTTGCAATCATCATCATCATCATCATCATCATCATCATCATCACTATTTTACTGACACAAAACACAGTATGTCACAGCAAACAAGATATATATGATGGATTTCATATCAAAAAATCACAAGTCAAACACTTCCCAAGAGTCTAGGACTATATGATGTATTTTTGAATGATGTGCACAGATCTAAGTAGGGTGGCCTTTTGTAGCTAACAGATGGTAATCTCCCCTGAAGGGGGCTACAAAAAAGGTGCTCTAGCCATCTGCTGGGAATGATCTAACTGGCATTTCTGCATTGAGCAGGGCACTGGATTTGGGTTATATCACAAGGTCTTAAGCCTTCTCTGCCAAAGGGTCCTGCTGCCTCACCCAACTACAAATCCAGGATCCCATAGCATTGAGCCATGACAGTTAAGCTGGTGTCAAACTGCAATAATTTTGCAGTGTTGATGCAGACTAGACTTTGGATGGTCCAGTCTTGAAGGTACTCTCAGCATATCACACACAGTAGCTCAATAATACTCTTCACAATAGGGATGTGGAAACTCTGGAAAACATGCAACTTCCCAAGCCTTTGGTTGAGATCCTTATCTTTGATCAACTTGCCCTTCTTTTCTGGGCTGTTGCATTATATGCTCAGTCTCAAAGCTTCTTCATGTCTCTGCCTTTCTGGCAAATCTTTTATTCTTGTTCTTCAGGGGGAAAGGGGATGGGAGAGGAGAGGAAGTGTAACAATTGTACAATGGCTCCCAATTGAATGGCTACAGAAATAGAATTATAACAGCTTGACACCACATTAACTGCTGTAGCTCAGTGCTAAGGGATTGTTGAAGTTTATAGTTTTGTGAGGTAGTCACCCTCCCCTGCCAGAAAACACTGGTGCCACCGGACACTACAAATCCTAGGATTCTATAGGATGGAGCTAACGTGGTGTTGAAATGCTATAGTTCTGGAGTAAATGAGAGGCTAGTATAGCAGTTTGACATGGCATCATTCTAGGACATCTTGGGAGTTGTCTTTTGATGGGGTGCTTAGAATTTCAGTGCCACAGAGCCCCAATTCACTCTTCTTAACTACAGACACCAAGACAGTCTAAGAAAAAGGACTGAATGAGAGTATTGTGCGAACTGTAATTCAAGGAACTGTACAACAATCCCCTAGCCTTGGGGAGAAGGGCAGGTACTCTGCAGATCTTTCTGAAGTGTTTGACTGAAATATTTAGAAACTCAGATGTTTCTTCAGAATAAACCGAGGGGCAACTAGCCATTCTGTATTTCATGACTCAATCTCATCATAACTTACAGCAGGAAGGGCAAAAAATGAAACTCCGACAAGCGAGAAGGTTGCTGCTATCAGGCGTCCCTCCCATGTTTTGGGCGTCTTGTCACCATAGCCAATGGTAGCTAGTGTAATCTGTGGGGAGAATGGTTGGGACAGTCTGTAAGAAACAAAGCAAACGGGCAAGAAGGATGATTTCTTGGACTCATTTGCCTCCATGATTCTACTCACAGTCTATCCCATTTGTTTTCACATCAGAGTTCAACTGAATCAGAGTTTGGAAAAGTTTCCATTTAGGACTACAACTCCACAAAGTGGTGTGGTTCAACAGAAGATTCCAGGAACTGTAGTCCAAAAAATAGAAACTTTTCCATGCTCTGGACATACACCAGCCACTTGCAGACATGGCTTCCATAGTTAAAAGTTTTACTGTATACTCAACTCATTTGGAAGACATTTCAAGGAGCATTTTGAGAAACTGAGATTCAGTGCCACAGTCTTCCTCCCATTTTTTGTTTTTTTTGTCTTCCCTCTCACTTATTCAACTCACCTCCCTCTACTAAGCAATCCAAGGTAAAAAAAACAAAAAACAAAAACAAAACAAAAACAGCAAACATTATAATTTGAAAACAGTCACCCAAAAGACTGAAAGATTGTAGGCTACTCAGAGAAAACACAAAACTCACTGCACTCTGTGCATTTGCTTTGGATACTGACCAGCCCCCACCACAGTGCATCCGCATAGGTTTCAAAGTCCCTTGTCTCTTGTCCTTGTTCATTTGTTTCGGCGACATCTTTTTCCACGAGGTAAACCAGGAAGGAGGAGAGGATTAGTGTCAGGAAGCCAATGTACCAGGCAGTGATGAGCTCCTAGGAGAGAAATGCACTGGTGTTAAAACAAACAAACAAACAAACAAACAAACAAAAACCAGGCAAGTCCCCAACCTGCTGAGTTTTCAACTTTTGGTGCCTCTACACTGTAAAAATAATGCAGTTTGACAACATTCTAACTGCCATGTCTCTATGCTGTCAAATCCTGGGAGCTTTTTGTATGTGTGTGTGTCAGGTGTGACTTGAGAAACTGCAAGTCACTTCTAGTGTGAGAAAATTGGCTGTCTGCAAGGACGTTGCCCAGGGTACACCCAGATGTTTTGATATTTTTACCATTCTTGTGGGAGGCTTCTCTCATGTCCCCGCATAGGGAGCTGGAGCTGACAGGGGGAGCTCATCCATGCTCTCGAGTATTCAAACCTCCAGCCTGTCGGTCTTCAGTTCTGCTGGCACAACACACTGCGCCACTGGGGGCCCCAACCTGGGAGCTGTACTTTTACAAGGTCTTTAGCCTTTTCTGTCAAAGAATGCTGGTACCTCAACAAACTACAACTCCAATGATTGCAGACTGAAGGATTTTTTAAATATATCTACAAGGGCGGCTCAACCCATTATGCAAAGTAAGCATTTGCAGTATAGTTGATTTTGCCCAGGGGCGCTCTTGAGGAGCTCTTGGGGGGAAATAGACCTTGACATATGCGAGTTGTAGTTACTGGGATGTATAGTTCACCTACAATCAAAGAGGATTCTGAACTCCACCAATGATGGAATTGAACCAAATATGGCACACAGAACTCCCACGATGAACAGAAAATATATATCAGTGATTGGTTGGGGGGGGGGGCAAAATACTGTTTGCTTACTGTTGAAAATTACCTAGGGCTGCCTCTGTATATCTATAAAATTCCTACTGCAAGCCTCACAATCCCACATCAATGAAACTCTAACAATGTATCTATCCATCCTGGTATCCTTTTCCCATGTCTGCACTTAACCCAAGAATGGTACTTCTGTAGAGGAGATGAACCTTCCATGGCATGGCTCTGCATCTCATCCACCTTTTCTAAACCTTTGGGTCTTACTTACTTTGCTGTGAGCACAAATGGCTGATCCCAGGAGTTTCCAAGTGCCCCCTCTTCTGTCCATCCGTAGCATCCGCAAGATCTGAAGGAAACGGAGGCTTCTCAGAGAAGTAGCCAAGACGTTCCCTTGGTTTCCGACAGCTACCACAGGCACCGAGGCAATCAGAACAAAGATATCTGTGGATTGAAAGAAATCCCAAAGAACAAGTCCTGACAAAATAGGTGGACCATTGGGTTAGAACTAAAGCTACTGTAGGACCCCTCTTTAGAAATACACATATGGAGAGATACAAATACACACATGAATGACTATGGCTGCCAGACTGTGTTGTGCACAAAGATGGAAGGACACAGGCATACCGTAACAAGAATTTAGAAAATATATTTTCTGATATTTTGGTTCAACCAAGAAGCTGTTTCACAGAAAGAGAGGGCAAATAACTTTCCCAAAGCAAACCTATAATAATAATAATAATCATCATCATCATCATCATCTTTATTTGTACCCCACTCCATCTCCCCAATGGGGACTCGGCGCGGCTTACATGAGGCCAAGCCCAAAACAACAATTACATCAAATAAAAACAAAATCAAAAATGCAAATAATAAACAATAATAACACAATTACATAAAACAAAAAGCAACATAGCAATATAAAATTACAATACACACAATAAACACAATCACGGTAACATGGGCGAGCTACATGTAATGGAGAAAAGAAAATTGGGTAGAAACGGATTAAAAACTCAGGCGAGATAAACACGAGATAAACAAGGACAGATTATGTGCGGAGGAGAGCTCGTTTTAGTGGAGGTCGTGGAGCAAAACTTTCCTATGGGGGGAATGCACTCCAATAACAAAAACCGTTAAATTAAACACTAGTATGAGGATGTAGATCTACTCTACACTTATTGCATTCCACCAATTGTATCTTGTCAACAGGAAAAGCACCTTGGATCACACGCAAGAATCCTACATCACAAACAGTCCCATTTTTGTTCTGTTCTTGATGTTCCTGTTTTTGTACTTCCTGTTGCTACTTTGCTTCTCTTTCTTGTCAGATGCTTTGTTTCTACTTCTAAGTGGTACATTAATTTAACATCCACTGTGTCTGTGAGCATGTAGAAAACCTAATAAAGGTTCTTTCTTTAAAGGGGAAAAATACATACTCTGTCTTTCTAGATCAAACAGCTTGGTACACTCGCCTTCACTGAACATCGTGTCCTCTTTCTCTTTCAAGATTGTACCTTTAATTTTTCTCCCCACTCTATCCACACACAAATATATCACTCAAGACAGGCAATATTGGGGAGAGACAGTACATTTCTATGGTTTGTGTGCATGAAAGGGGTAAAGAAAGGTTGGAAGAAAGGCTTTACCATGGAAAGGGTCAGGGAACCTCTGTGGGCCTCAACCTGTCCTAAAATTATCCAGCCAGCATGACAATTGGTTACACTTTCACTTAGAATCATAGAATCAAAGAGTTGGAAGAGACTTCGTGGGCCATCCAGTCCAACCCCCTGCCAAGAAGCAGGAATATTGCATTCAAATCACCCCTGACAGATGGCCATCCAGCCTCTGTTTAAAAGCTTCCAAAGAAGGAGCCTCCACCACACTCTGGGGCAGAGAGTTCCAATGCTTAATGGCTCTCACAGTCAGGAAGTTCTTCCTAATGTTCAGATGGAATCTCCTTTCTTGTAGTTTATTTATTTATTTGGTTTACTTTTACCCCGCCCTTCTCACCCCGAAGGGGACTCAGTTTGAAGCCATTGTTCTGCGTCCTAGTCTCCAGGGAAGCAGAAAACAAGCTTGCTCCCTCCTCCCTGTAGCTTCCTCTCACATATTTATACATGGCTATCATATCTCTCAGCCTTCTCTTCTTCAGGCTAAACATGCCCAGCTCCTTAAGCCGCTCCTCATAGGGCTTGTTCTCCAGACCCTTGATCATTTTAGTTGCCCTCATCTGGACACATTCCAGCTTGTCAATATCTCTCTTGAATTGTGGTGCCCAGAATTGGACACAATATTCCAGGTGTGGTCTAACCAAAGCGGAATAGAGGGGTAGCATTACTTCCCTAGATCTAGACACTATGGTCCTATTGATGCAGGCCAAAATCCCATTGGCTTTTTTTGCCACCACATCACATTGTTGGCTCATGTTTAACTTGTTGTCCACGAGGACTCCAAGATCTTTTTCACACGCACTGCTCTCGAGCCAGGTATCGTCCCCCATTCTGTATCTTTGCATTTCATTTTTTCTGCCTAAAGTGGAGTATCTTGCATTTGTCACTGTTGAACTTCATTTTGTTAGTTTTGGCCCATCTCTCTAATCTGTCAAGATCATTTTCCAGGGTCTCCAGTCAAAGTGACTCAGAGAGGTGTGGTTCAACAAAAAGAACTATTCCAAGCTCTGGGACCATGAGAAGAGTGGCATCAGAGAGTAGGGACATTGGAGATCTCACATTAGACAAAGGAGCAAAAGGAAAGGTTCTACTTACCCAGCATACACAGTGGTTTCCTGGCAAACTTCAGCCTGCCTCTCCAGCCTTTGTACCGACAACAGCAACCAGCAGCCCAAATCCTTAAGGCAAATTCTGCTCCAAAGATGAAAATTGCAAAAGTTTCCTACATAATAAACAAAGGGATGAGTCACAAAAGTGGGAAGAGATATATCAACAAGTAGCAAAAATCTTAAACCTTTGAAATAATTTCTTGGAAGAAGAACATTTGCAGAGAACAATATTCTAAAAGTCACGGTCAGTCTCCAGCCTCAAGTTACATCTCTTATTAAAGACTCCAATGAGCCATTGTTTTGTTTCATTTCATTTCATTTCTTTTTATTATCAGGATATGTTAAGAACTATATGATTTTTACTCAACCAAGGGCATATTCTTCCTTGGCTCATATTCATCCCTTTTCACTTACTGTTCCAAATTCCCGGAACTGCCTCCCTGAAGGTTTGCTAACTTCCCCCATGCTTTTAAAGTCACATTTAAAGATTTGTTTTCCAAAGTTTGGGTATTTTAGTTTAATATTGTTTAAAATGATTGTATATCTTGATTATATATGAGTCACTTTAAACCATTTTTTTTTCATTTTCTCTGGACTGGATATAGGCAAGAGGAACAATATTTCCAATGCCCACCTCTTCCCAGCGAAATGTGGGTGACTCTGTTTGCACTCCGATGTGACTTGGAAAAAGGCAGAGTCTCAGGACAGAGTTTGGGGCATCCACTTCTCACATTTATAGTGTATTATAAGTTCCTTGAAGGCAGATTCCTGTAGTTTTGCACTAATCGAGCTTTGATCTTCTTCCTCCAAATTTAATCCCTCTCCTCCCAACTTCCTGTATCTCTTTCTCCACTATATGTACTCACCAAAAGCAACAGCCACTTTTCCGATGCCTTTTCATAATCTTTGAATGTGGTCAGCACAGCTAAAATCAAGCACCCCAGGACAATCAGAAACCTAGAAGAAGACAAAAGGAAGAAGAGAGAGCATCAGTAGATGATCATTCTTCATGCAGTGGTCATTTTGTGTCCCACTACCACCACCATAAAATAATCAGATTACATTGTGGAGGCCCAGGCAGTTGGCATTAACCCAAAGAACAATGAGCAACATTTCAAGAAGTAGCCACACACCGCATTTTGTCCCACTCTAAGAAATATCTCAGACCCAGTGGAGTCTACTGGTTTGGGTGCTGCCCAAGATCTACTGGAATCAAGTCATGGAAACTCACTAGTTAACTTTGGACAAGCAACAATTTCTTAGCAATAACATCCTGTGGAAACTTACTGGCAGTGCATGGGGTATGGATCCAAAATTAATAAGAACATCAGCCCTGGCCTTGTCTTACTCAACTGGCGAGTATTCCTGCCCTGTTTGGAACAAGTCTGTTCTCATGCAGCAGGTGACCATAGCATTGAACAAGACATGCAGAATAATCATAAGATGTAATGGGATTTTGGCCTGCATCAATAGGAGCATAGTGTCTAGATCTAGGGAAGTCATGCTACCCCTCTATTCTGCCCTGGTTAGACCACACCTGGAATATTGTGTCCAATTCTGGGCACCACAATTGAAGAGAGATATTGACAAGCTGGAATGTGTCCAGAGGAGGGCGACTAAAATGATCAAGGGTCTGGAGAACAAGCCCTATGAGGAGCGGCTTAAGGAGCTGGGCATGTTTAGCCTGAAGAAGAGAAGGCTGAGAGGAGATATGATAGCCATGTATAAATATGCGAGAGGAAGCCACAGGGAGGGAGCAAGCTTGTTTTCTGCTTCCCTGGAGACTAGGACGCGGAACAATGGCTTCAAACTACAAGAGAGGAGATTCCATCTGAACATGAGGAAGAACTTCCTGACTGTGAGAGCCGTTCAGCAGTGGAACTCTCTGCCCCGGAGTGTGGTGGAGGCTCCTTTGGAAGCTTTTAAACAGAGGCTGGATGGCCATCTGTCAGGGGGGATTTGAATGCAATATTCCTGCTTCTTGTCAGGGGGTTGGACTGGATGGTCCATGAGGTCTCTTCCAACTCTTTGATTCTATGATTCTATGTCTCAAAACTACACCTGTTGATAAACTCTACAAGCTAGCTGGCATTGCACCCCTCTTGATGTGCGAAGTTGCTGCTAACTGTGAAAGAAATAAGGTTGAACACTGTGAAAGCCACCCACTGCATGGCTATCAGCCCCCTCCCAGTAGATTCAAATCAAGGAAAGCTTCATGAGAACCACCACTACTCTTAACATTCCCCCAGGAAAAGCAAGAGTATCCCTCTGGGCAGCTAAACCAGGCAATTCCAACTGGATGCCCCCAGGGTCTTCCTCCAAGGGGCAAACCAAGAATGTGCAACTTGAAAGTCCCTGAACAGACTCAGAAGTGGAATGGGCAGATCAAAAACAACCTGTCAAAATGGCATTACCTAAAAGAATCCTCCGCCTTGTTCGACTGCAGAGCAGAACAAACAACTCCACATCTATATGCTTGTCCATGACGCCCTGCCTCATGTACAGAGGAAGAATGGTTCAAAGATATAGACAATGCACTTGTTGTTGCCTGTTTTTGGTCAAAAAATATTTAGCTGCTTGTGCTCCTTCTATTTTTATCAGTTTTATAGAATCATAGAATCATAGAATGAAAGAGTTGGAAGAGACCTCATGGGCCATCCAGTCCAACCCTCTGCCAAGAAGCAGGAATATTGCATTCAAATCACCCCTGACAGATGGCCATCCAGCCTCTGTTTAAAAGCTTCCAAAGAAGGAGCCTCCACCACACTCCGGGGCAGAGAGTTCCACTGCTGAACGGCTTTCACAGTCAGAAGTTCTTCCTCATGTTCAGATGGAATCTCCTCTCTTGTAGTTTGAAGCCATTGTTCCTTGTCCTAGTCTCCAAAGAAGCAGAGAACAAGCTTGCTCCCTCCTCCCTGTGGCTTCCTCTCACATATTTATACATGGCTATCATATCTTCTCTGTATATGTATATAATGCTTTTGACACAAAATAAATAAAAACTTTCTTATCTTTCTTAACTTTCTTAGCTTTCTTCGCTTTCTTAACTTTCTTATATTTGCAAAGGCAAATCTTCTCTGAATAAACCTTGCCAAGAAAACCCCATAATACAGTCACCAAGAACCAGAGTGAACTTGAGACACATAATAATAAACCAAGTATCTAGATGCTCCATTGTTTGTATTATATAGTTAACAGCAACCACTAAAGCAACCAGGTGGAGATATTTTTTGTTGACTGGAAGAAATTATTTGCTTGACATACATTTTAAGTCGCAGGATGCAACAAATCAGGGAATTAAGCATAAATGGGCGAACAGGGACTGGAAATGGGCTAAATGCTCCTTGTGGCCATACAACTGAGTCATGTTTCCCTATGACTCACCATCAAGACAGAAAAGATTCACCCTGACCTAGTTTATATAATCAGCTGAAAGCATTTACTCAGTGGAACCTTTCAGATGTAACAATGGTGAGAGGGTGTTGCATTTTCAAAACTAGAATAGCTGGGATCAAGAGATACCCCCTAAATAAACATCTAAAAATTTGGATAGGCTCATATACAGCATTTCAGAAAGTCTTGATCCAATTCCAAGGATAATATTTCTGAACTAACATATATTCATTAATTATCATATTCTGAATGGACATGTATATCTAGGGGTTGTTTTTTTTTTAAAAAAGAAACTATTTCTTTAGCATTAAATAAAATATTATCCCTGTCATTAATGTACTACAGGTATATTTTACAGGTATATTTTATTGCTTTGAAATATCCAATCTATTTGTCTCCAAGGAACTGGGAAATTGTTGCTCCTGTTCAGCATTTGATTATTTGTTTACGTCTATTATAATAGGCTGTGCTTTTTATTTAATTTTAGCTGTTAAGTCATAATTCTTATTTATATGTTGCATTGCAAAAATTTTTAGTTACGGATGTATTATTGTGGTACTCGGGCATTGAATGTATGCCTTTTATGTTTGGAATCTGCCCTGTGTTCCTCCGGGGACATAGAGCAGAATATAAATAAAGTTTTATGATACCAGCAATATAACTCAAACAGGGTAATCCCTAGTATAAGCTCCACTATGAAAGTGATTGGCATTTTTGCTCAATAAGGAATGCTCACATTCAGTTCAACGCTGTTAAAGCTGTATAGTTCTTGCGGTCCAAGCATGCATGAATGTATATTACACATAGTGCATGGTTTCACATGCCCATTTGCACGTAGATGGGCATCATGCATTTGGCTGATGCTTTGTGTTTTGGCTCAGTTGGGCAAAATTGCCATTACTTTTCTCTGAATCACAGTAGTAAAGTGTGTGTGTGTGTGTGTGTGTGTGTACATGTGTGTGCAGTGAATTGGCACTGCATAGTAATATCACTTTCATATGACTTTGGCTGGTGGCATTGCATGAATGTATGTGTGTCAGGAGCAACTTGAGAAACAGCAAATCGCTTCCGGTGTGAGAGAATTGGCCATCTGCAAGGATGTTGCCCGGGGATGCCCGTATGTTTTGATGTTTTACCATCCCTGTGTGAGGCTTCTCTTATGTCCCTACATGGGGAGCTGGAGCTGACAGAGGGAGCTCATCGGAACTCTCCCTAGATTCGAACCTCCAACCTGCCTATCTTCAGTCCTGCTGGCACAAGGGTTTAACCCATTGGCCACCAGGGACTCCTTGCATGAAATAGTGGAATCTGTAATTGGGAATAATCAGGTTCTCCAGTTGTTCTACTGCAAATCCCAATAGCCTGAGCCACATTTGCCAATTATATAGTGGGATAAAACCGTTATAACTAAATGATACAGAAACGCAGGAGGACATAATCAATGACAATCTTTTATTTTGGAGCAAAAATGCCCTTTTCATGCATTCGCCACCTTTTTTGGACTACAGATAAATAATAATTTATTCTGTTGCAATTGCTGGAGCTCTATGCCACATGGGCTCTCCTGAACATCCATTAATTTGTAAACATTTGCAGTTGAAAAACAGGAACTGAATGTGTCCAAAGGCAATGGGAACATTTTCCAAGTCTCCTCGTGATCCTGGAGGATATTTTTTTCTAAAGGATTTCAGAATTTAAACTGTAGACTGTGCAGAAAGTTACAGATATATAACAGATAAATAAAAGCGAGATTTTGATTTATTAGCCATTCAAAATTATTCCAAAATGTAATCCTATTCTGATTCTCCTCTGTAATAATGTGTGTAGTCTTTCCTGTTAACTCCACTGAAGAAAGAGTACTGTGCTTTGGCCACAAGAAGGCAGCAAATATCTATGCTTTGAAGGGATAAAGTGGGCATTGTGTACAATCCATTTCAACCTAGAAAGAGTACTAAAGCTAACCTTATCCTTCTTTATGCTGTTTCTTAAAAAAAAAAACCAGACCTAGGAACCCTCCTTGTCCTCACAATCTATCAATGCCACATCTCCTTAACGTAGAGCTCTCAAGGTAGAATCGACCTATTGTGGGAATAGCATGTAGCACCCGAGAGAGCTCTTTTTAAAGTTTAGGCTCAAATCCTGAATTATCACTGATATTCACCTGAGCTGAGAATAGTTCCCTGAAACACAAGAAAATAAAAAATGAGAGGGGTGGTTTAACTTTAGAAACCAGTGGCGATGACTCTGGGACATTTGGTTAATGGAGAAACTTGCCAATAACACGAGACAGTTGGTTGGACAAGGAACTCAGCTGGCATGCATTGATACATGATTTCCTCTCACATAATATGTCAACACTAATGTGCAATGTATACAACTCCCACCACAACATTTGGAACTATTAAAAGATATCATTGATGAGACCACAGCCCTGACAGTTGCATTATACTTTCTGATGCATAGACTATCTTTGTACAAGAAAGTGATTCATTTATTTACTGTGTAACCATATCCACGATTTATTTCTGTTTATATTTTATTACTGTTTTTTATTGATAAAAGCC